CTTTTAAGTAACCTCCCTTCTCTCTACATTCATTTTTTGATACTAGGTGGTGATTGGAATTGTGTTGTTGAATTGTGTTCTGGATCAATGACACCCTCGTACTCTGTCTCAAATTACTCTATTGCCAGATTTATGTCCTAAAATTGATTTATTGATCCTTGGAGAATCTTACTGCTTGAGCATATTCCCTTTTATCTCAAGTTTGTCAATCTTTTTCACAAATGGATTACTTTTTTCTAGACAGTTCTCTTATTCCGAAAGTGTTATCATCTGAATACCGTCCAACAGTTGTATCTGATCAGGCACAATTTAGGGTCAACGTCGAGCTCATGGCCCATTTGTTTTTTTCCTCACCCTGGAGGTTTAATTCTTCACTAATGTCAGACGACACTTTGGTTATTAAATCCACATTTGATGACTTTATGGCATTTAATGACACAGACACTATCACAAGGTTGGTGTTATGGGAAACATTTAAAGCGTACGTGTGTGGCCAAATTATTTCTTTCTTTGCTCATTCCAGTAAAGATCACAAAGCCAAACTCCAAAATTTGATGACACAAATTTGTGATAAAGATCAACACATTATTACTAATCTCACTTCTGATTTGCATAAAAGATTACTTGATATAAAAAGAGAGTTTGATTCACTCTCTACTGCAGATGCGGAATGCCATGCAACTTTAAATGGTAAAATGGTAAATGGCCTGTATTTGATATAGCGCCTTCTAGAGTCCTGGAACCCCCCAAGGCGCTTTACAACACAGTCATTCACCCATTCACACACACATTCACACACTGGTGGGGATGAGCTACGATGTAGCCACAGCTGCCCTGGGGCGCACTGACAGAGGCGAGGCTGCCGAGTACTGGCGCCACCCGTCCCTCCGACCACCACCAGCAGGCACTGTGAGTTAGGTGTCTTGCCCAAGGACACAACGACAGTGACAGATTGAGCGGGGCTCGAACCTGCAAACTGCGGGTTGAGCACTTAACTCCTGTGCCACCGTAGCCCATATTTTTATACACATATTATGGGCATGGGGATAAACCAAGTAGACTGTTGGCCCATCAATTGAAAAGTGAGGCTTCCTTTTGAGTGATGACTCAAGTTAAGGACATAGCGGGCAGTTTGGTCTCTGATCCTATGGAAGTGAATGAGGTGTTTAAAAATTAAGTAGCTGAACATAGAGATGCACCACTTAGGTGTATGTATAAGCTAATCGAACCTAAGAACATGCATAATGGTAGGACACGAGTAAGCAGACTCCTTGCTTATTGTATTCTTATGTTTCTTGCAATAAACAAACGTATAAAATGTGCCAAACTAACATTGGAGAGTTTCAGCTTTTTGGTTTTTTTTTTTTTTTTGTGGAATAAACTGAAAAAAAATTACTGGAAATCTCTTCATTATTTACAAGGTCTTGTGTTGAATTAATCAATAAAACCATCATTGTAAAATGAACCTGTAGTGAGTGACACTCAGGTGTTTTGTGTCAGACAGCAAGTTTATTCTTGTCCAGATTTTTGCATTGAAAATAAGGACCGCTGTGTGCCAGGAATCAAACAAAAAAATAAATAAATAAACATTTGACCTGGATAGGCATTTACTACCAATAATTACTCTTAGATGTAGGTTATATTTTCTTTTAAAATATACATAAATTAATGCAAAGGAGTAAATGTAGTTAGTGTAGCATAGGCAAATCGATTATTTTTATTTGTTATGACCAGGAAGATGTAATATTCTATATAAATATAAAATATTAACCTGCGAGGTCTTTATTGTAATTATTCAGAAGATTCTAGGTTTTAATTCAGAAGATCTAGGTTCTTTGCCTTTTCAGTGATCAACCACACTTCGTGTTACTTCAGAAAAGGAGTCAGGTTTATAAAACTGAGAATTTATTTTTCAAACAATTAAAACATGACTAATTACCTAAGCATTTACTGTGAGTGGATGTAACTAAACGTGATGAAGGAACCTATGTGTGAATGCGATGTCAGTCAGAGCTTCCTTATCAAAGTAAGCCGAGTTCTGGTGAAAAGAATTTGGTTTGCTCTAAGCTATTAAGTTGTTATCATCAGAAGAACATCAGACGCAATCTGCAATGTCTACTTCACCCGTTTTTGAGATACCCTCTTGGTGGATCCGAAAGTCGCAGGGGTCAGCTGACCTCTGGCACCGGAGGGCTGTAGAATACCGTGGTACAGACTCTTCAGTCCAGAGATGTCTCGGGTCACAACAGATGGATGGAACCGGGCATCTGGCGGACTCTTAAGGAGTCTAACAATATCAGCTTTGTTTCTGCAGGAACTGTTCGCTCATCAGCTTTGAAGGTGCAAAAAGGTTTTGACGACGTGTCAAAATCTTTGATGGCTAAAGAGGTTTTGCTACAGATGGCCGGTCTGAAGCGATTCTCTAGAACCGTCGAATCACTCAGGATGATCCAGTTTTAAGGTTTTGATGTTATGATTTGCACAGCCAATCAGAGGCTGACAAGTTTGAGATCTGTTACCAAGACAACTCAGAAACACGCCTTCTGAGGACCTTTTCGTCTAAACATGGTGAACACATGGCAGGTTCTAGTAGACAAACATAACATAACATCCATTCAGTGTGCACAGATTAATGAAGCATTTAATTATACTATAATTATTATAAGTAGTAATAAACAAATGTTTATTTAATGATTATCTAGATTATAAGCCATGGAAGAAGTTCATATTGATTTAATAAATCATTCTTGAATTTAGCAATTGATTCCAGCTGGAGTTCTTCCTTCTGTGAAGGCAGACAGATGGGACCTTGGGAAAGAAAGTTATTGTTTATCTTTCAGACCTGCAGAGTCTGTGAGTCCCAGCTGGTATGAAGGCAGACTCATTTAAAGGGAACACATGCAGTGTTGTGTCTCCTTTCTGACCAGATGTTGAATAGATGTTGAAAGGTCAGACTGTACCTAAACTGACCATTGCTGGACGTTACATTAGTAAAAATAACTTTCCTAAATAAAGTAGTTTTTTTTTATTTGCTAAGTCAGCAAGACAACAACAGAACAGTAGTCCATGCAAAAGGCTAGCAAACAACGTTTTGTCATACCTAACCCTGACCCATTAATACACCTCATTCAATAATAGCTAAATAACGTCATGTTTCAGATATGTCAGTTGATGAAAATAATGTTTTTCTTTTATTGTTACATTGACAAAAATCTTCTTGTCTTTTGGCCTGTCCATAGCTTCCACAGCATCATGTCTGTGATAAAGATGAGGATTTGACTGACCAGACTTTCTCTAACCAGGAGACGTCCTCCATTTTGGACCAGAAAGAACCAGAACGTCCACTGATGAAATATGAACAACAGAAACTCTTTATGTCAGCATGAAAGGCAGTTTAGTCCAAAGCAGGAAAATGTTGCATGCATGGTCAATCATTGGTTGGTTTTAAAATACCTGGTTATGTACATGGTCTTATGCCTCCCTCGTACTTGCGTGATTATGGCTAGATATATAGGTGTGTGTGTGTGTGTGTGTGTGTGTGTGTGTGTGTGTGTGTGTGTGTGTGTGTGTGTGTGTGTGTGTGTGTGTGTGTGTGTGTGTGTGTGTGTGTGTGTGTGTGTGTGTGTGTGTGTGTGTGTGTGCCGATCTATGTATCAAAGTGAGGACCAAAACAAGTTTTTTACCTGCAAACTGAGGACATTAGTAGTATAGTGAGGACATTTTGCTGGTCCTCAATTTGGGACAATGTTACAGAACTCTACTGGTTAGTTTAGAGGTGTGGTGTGAATTAAGCTTAAGTTAGGGTTAGGAGTAGACTGGGGTATGGTTAGCATTGGACACAATCTGGTCACTAAAACGAATGTAAGTCAATGACGTGTGTGTGTGTGTATGTGTGTGTGTGTGTGTGTGTACCGATCTATGTATCAAAGTGAGGACCAAAACGAGTTTTTTTACCTGCAAACTGAGGACATTAGTAGTATAGTGAGGACATTTTGCTGGTCCTCAATTTGGGACAATGTTACAGAACTCTACTGGTTAGTTTAGAGGTGTGGTGTGAATTAAGCTTAAGTTAGGGTTAGGAGTAGACTGGGGTATGGTTAGCGTTGGACACAATCCAGTCACTAAAACGAATGTAAGTCAATGACGTGTGTGTGTGTGTGTGTGTGTGTGTGTGTGTGTGTGTGTGTGTGTGTGTGTGTGTGTGTGTGTGTGTGTGTGTGTGTGTGTGTGTGTGTGTGTGTGTGTGTGTGTGTGTGTGTGTGTGTGTGTGTGTGTGTGTGTGTGTGTGTGTGTGTGTGTCATGTCGTCCGAGCTCCAACCAGCGACAAGAAAGGAATGCAAGTCAATGTGGCTAAAAAGGTTATTTTCCAATCCGCTTAGCCTTACACCCTGAATCGCACATATGTTGTACTGCAATTTAAATGAAAAGTAATGACGGGTGTTTCAACCACGCCAGCGACCTACTTTGAGATTTATCAGCTTGTAAAAGTGTAATTATCAGCTCAATCACTTTAGCTTCAGTCTCTTACCACGCTTCATATACGCCCAGTCCAGTGATCACAATGTATTATGTACACCTCCTTTTGTTTTTCCATCTCCTCCATGATCTCCACCGCCACGCACTTCAGCTCCTCATTGCTGGCAGTTCTGTTCCTGTTTCGACATGATGTAGCCTCCCAACACGAGTTAGGTTCCAGGCCATGACAGCATCTGCAGCAGCAGCAGCTCACCCAGCCAATGGCTGCTAGCGTCCAGGCTGCAACCGTATCTGCAGCAGCAGCGGTTCTTGCCGATCTGGTTGTTGAAACTTTTATTGGTACCAACCACTAGGAACTTCATTGATTGCTTTAGTTTCAGCCTCCCATATTGGTTCCAGTGTCTCGTTATTAAACGGTATGTTGATGGGCACAAAAATACATTTGCTATAAGCAGATGTGCAATCTCCTTTTATTTAATTTTCAGGCACTAATCTCAAATTTGGACTCGCAGCCTGAAACTATCAGAAAAGCACTTTCTCAGCAGCATTCTCTTTCCTAGAGCTCAAGAAAACCAGATTGTTTTCAGTGCAGCAATATTCCCATCTCCATCATCCAACACCTCTTAGTCTCCATGTCGAGTTTGTTGTAATAAAATCTCTCTGACCCAGAAACTATAAATAGTTGCTTGTTTATGTAGCAAAAGGCAAGACTAGTGCGAGACAGAAGACATCTGAAAGCAAGAACAGCTTTGCAGAGGAATTAAAATCATCACAAGACTTTGTGGTGGATGCTGTTGGTAAATATAAATAATACAAGCGATCTTTTAGAGCAAGAAGAAAATAACAATCAGCATGGAGTTTACCCGGCGTTACCTTCCAGTGGACTGGGAAGAGCGATGGAGGAAAGAGAAGGAGAGGAAGAAAAAGGTGATTGAAGAAGGTGGAGCAGGGGTAGAAAAGGATAACCGTGAACTGAGGGGGATTGTTGCTTACAATGACTCCAGGATGGGTCTGATTAAAGGGAGCGTGTCCACGGATGCGTCAGAAGAAAGCATGAGTGGGACGAGTCAGGAAGCATCTGGGGGGCATGTGAGTGAACAGGCTTTTCGGGGTGAAGGGAACATTTTTCACTTTTGCTGCTGCAAAGTTTTCCCCAAAGACGTTTTTGTTACTCTGAAAGACTTCAAGAATTCATCCCTTCTGACCGACCTGAGTCTGATGACTGATGATGGGAGCAGCTTGGACGTGCACTCTGTTGTCCTGGCTGCTGTCAGCACCTTCGTTCTGGACAGGCTGAAGGAACATTTAGACAACACTCACGAGGAAGGCTTCAGCAAGTGGTCAGTGCTCCTGGGTGCTGAGGTCGACCGTGTCGGGCTTCAGGCGGTTGTTGAGTTTGCTTACAGCGGAGATGTGTCATCTTTAAACAAAGACAATTTTACCAAAATAAAAGCTGCAGCTCAAGTCCTGCAGGTGCCACCACTGGTGCAGCTCTGCAACAAACCCATGACGGAAAATCTGACTGGGTTTTCTAAACAGGAGCAGCCAAGATTATCCGTCAACGACCATTTGAAGGTTTCTCTCGAGTCCATTGAGCGACTGTGGATGGATAAAGTTGGATGTGATGTAATTCTGGATGTGAATGGCAGTCTTTTTCATGGTTAGCTAGCACGGCATTAGACTAATGAGGACAACATTTGGGTGTTCTGGTGAAAGTGTGACAGTGGCCAAAGTTTACGTTTCTTTTGTCTGTCTACAGCTCACAGAGTTATCCTGGGAGCGTGCAGTGAGTACTTCCGTGGAATGTTTACCTGTGGAATGAGGGAATCTAATCAGGCATGCATTGCCCTTCCCTTCCTGTCAGCTTCTGACTTAGAGGCTCTGATCTGTTGCTCCTACACAGGGATTCTTCCTCTCAGCTGGGATTGTGTTTTTGAGCTTACCTGCACGGCCCTCCAGCTTCAGTTCCAGCCTGCTCTCCTGCTTTGTTTCAACTTCATGCAAGATCAAATGCAGGCTAGCTCCTGCCTGGATGTGGCATCTTTCGCTGAAGCATACGGGATGTCAGAGCTCCTTGAGGAAGCCAATGACTTTGTACTGAGGAATTTCAGGGAAGTGTCGGCCACAGAGAAGTTTCAGGACCTGTCGGCCGAGAAGCTTCTGGAGTTCCTTCGCTGTGATGGTCTGTGCGTGCCCTCAGAGTTGGCCGCATTTCGAGCGGTAATCTCATGGATTGGGGCTGATCCTGAAGAAAGACTTGCCCAGGCTCCTTCACTGATGACCGGAGTTCGCTTTCCATTGATGACTTTTAGAGAGTTCAGGGAAGTCAGAGCCATCAACTTGCGTATGGAATGCGTTGCAGACAAAGAAGTGGAACTCTACGGTTCCGCGCTTAAGGAATTTGGTTTCGGTGTACCAAACTCTGAGGATTGTTGTCGAGTCAGGCGACCCAGAAATGTCCTAGCTGTGATTGGTGGAGACCAGCTAAATCAAGACGTGGGTCAACGTGTACCAAGCAGGGAGATTTGGTTTGCTAACAGTCTACGCAATGGCACAGGGTTGGTGAAAGACATAGAGTGGAAGAGGCTTGGTGAGATCCCAGAGAGGTCAAAGTTCAGACATGGAGCGGCAGTAATGGATGGCATGCTGTATGTCGCTGGAGGATGTTATTTTTATGCAAAGGATGACATCATGAATTCAGCCTACAGGTAAAGAAATATGAATGTTTTCTAATATCAGTTTTGTTAAAGAAGGACTCCCTTGGTTGTCTTGCATGTAGTTACGACCCCATGAAGGAGCGCTGGAAGAGGCTGGCGGACATGCAGGAGTCAAGAAGTAACTTCTCAGTGGTGGTGCATGAGGATCACCTTTATGCTATTGGGGGGGACAAAGAGCTCAACACCAACACCCACGCTGTGGAGATGTACACACCAGAAACAGACACTTGGAGGTAATGTCACAGGTAGTAGACAAGTTGGCGTACTATATTAATGTTTTAATAGAGAGGGTGGATGATGTCACTTGTGTATCAGACCACACTCATTTTAATGTTAGTAAGTAAACACAAAGTGCAGTTTTCTAACTGGGTTTTCATTCATTAAGTTCAGAATCAGCTTTATTGTCAATGCCCTAGCGTCCTGAAGCATAGAAATGTGTCTCTGCATTTCAGCCTGACCAAGGTTAAACACACAGGCATGTAGATAACAGATACAGGCAGCTGTTAAGGCGCTCCCCAGCAGCCAAACATTTTCCACCGCAAGATGGCTGGGCTAAGCCTCAGAGGTGGTGTAAGGAGATCGGAGCTCCAGAAGAGGAAGTATTTTGCAAATGTCCTGCAGGCGGGAGGCCCCCAGGTCCAGCTATGACATGGTTGGAGGATTATAGCTCCACATTGGCCAGGGAGCGCTTGGAGATCCCACTGATGGAGCTGACGGAGATTGCCGGGGAAAGTGAGATTTTGCACTCTTTCCCATCATGCCCAGGCCACACAATGAGGCGATCATATCTAATCACAGCATAGTCTCATCTGGCTCTTGCTTTCTAGAATGCGGGTGGCAGCTCTGCTACTTTCCTTCTCACCTTTTTTGAGAAGTCGTCGTTGTTATAAATGGTGGAGGTCTTTAGCTGGCCCAAGGATGAGCCAAACTCAGATAAGCAGGAGAAAACAAACTGATGAACAAATTGATTTTAATCAAGACTTTAAAAATAATTCGGTGGACTGAGGAGCCAAAAGTGGATCTGAAGGTCCCGGTCCATCTGGAGTAAAACACTAAATCATGCTAAAGGTCAATCATGGTGACTGTAGAGTTACGGTATAGGGATGGGTACCTTTGACATTTGAATCGATTCGGTACTAACCCTAACCTAGGAGTCGATACCGGTACTTAACGGTAACAATTTTAGATACTTTTGAGTGTTTAATATTTTAATTCTCTTTTATAATTAAATATATATTTTTCTCAATATATAACCATATTTGATAAATATCAGGATAAATAACATACAACTGTTTGTATTTTAACATCGTCCTTGTAGTTTTATAAGCTGATAATTAAACTGAAGCAAACATCTTTACTGTGAACTAAATTTACTGTGTATCTTCATTCCTTTTGCCGTCCTTTTTCATTTGATTTTTCCTACTGGGAAGTTAGAATTTCCGAGGAGAGAGCGAACGCACCATTAGCTGATAACAATGGCAGCAATGGAAGCTAACATATCAAGCTAACGTTATCTTAAACAGTTTATGTAGCTGCTGGAGCAGATTAAAACGATGATGCCTCACACTTAGATCGTTGTCGCTGGTTTCATCATCACCCAATCACCCGTCGCATTTAGTAAAGTGAAGCCAAACTTTAGAGCGCGTTCATGTACTTCTTGACAGAAATTCGGAGTTCCGAGGAGAAAGCGAACGCACCATTAGCGGAATTGAAGCTAACATATCAAGCTAACGTTATGTTAAACATTTTATTTATCTACTGGAGCAGATTAAGATGAGGATGTCTCAATTAGATCGTTGTCGCTGGTTTCATCATCACCCAGTTACCCATCACATTTAGTGAAGTGGACCCAAGCTTTAGCGTGCGTTCTTTCTACCATGCTGCTCTGTTTACAACTGGCTCGCAGCGACCGACGACATAACGCTCTTGCGCATGCGCAGCTGTCTAGGCAAGTTCTCGTTGTGAAGGACGGGTACCGAAACGAGCAGTGTTGCCAACTTAGCGTCTTTGTCACCATTTCTAATGACTTTTCAGACCTCCTTAACGACTTTTTTTCAAAAAAGCGCCTAGCGACAAATCTGGCGACATTTCTGACCCCCCTCAGCTGCTTTGACTACAACTTTGTTGACGACTTTACCTGCAGATTAGCGATGCATCTGAAGCGACAGGACCGTCCTTCCTTCCAGAGGATCAGAAAGAAAATGATCTGCGCATGTGCTTGCAGCATGATCACGCTATCCCCATTGACCAATCAAACATTTTGTGGGTTTTCACAAATCCATTATTTGAGATAGCCATGGAGCTACATAAAGGGCGACCGCTCCTTCCGCCATCTTGCCGCATTTCGGCAGCTAAGCTCGGCTGGCACTGGCAGGCAGCATCGCACTCACACATGGCTTCTCGCACCACCTGTGGTGCATTCAAGGAACACTGGAACTCTATGATGAGTTCAATAACATAGCACATTTAAAACTTTTATAAAAAACAGAATAATACTGTAAGTCATTGGCAGGTCATTGGCAGCTTGCATGTAACGTTTCTGAATACTAAGTGCGGCCTGCTTCTTTTTACACAAAAGTATTAAAAACAACAAAACCAAACAAAAACAATATATATATATATATATATATATATATATATATATATATATATATATATATATATATATATATATATCTTTTAGGTCAGTATATAGCACTGAATCACAACAGAATACATCTCAAGGCACTTGAAAACTACAAGAGAAAATTCATTTTAATTCAACCATACATACATTCCTATCAATTTAATATTTGTGTGTTTACGAGTTCCATTCTCTTCAGACAAAATAGAAATATTCCTTCCATTTTCTGTGCCATCTTTCCTTGATGTTTTAAAGGCTGCTGTTTTGTATTCTATGGGGTTTTCATTTTAATAAAATATTTAAAAATAAATTAAATATTTTTTTAAATAAAATCACGCGGGTTTTATTTGATTTACTCTACAAGACCGGTGACGTCATGACACAAACGTGGTGACGTCATCATGCAAACCAGATGACGTCATTGTGTTGTATGCTAATTAGCACGTGACGTCATCTGGCGACATCTAGCGACTTTGGGGGGGAACTTCAGCTACTTTCAGTCAAAAACAGTTGGCAACACTGGAAACGAGGCACCGTTTCAAATGACGTGACTCGGTGCTCAGTCGGTACTATGGGATTCGGTCGGTACCTTCAAAAGTACCAAATTTGGTACCCATCGCTAGGTATGAGGTAGCTTTGCTGCTTCAGTAACTGGACTACTTGCTGTAACTGATGAAACCAGGAATTTGACTCTCCACCAGATAATCCTTAGGCAGAATATTTGACCTTTGACCCTAAACAAGTCGTTCAAGCTGGAAAACCCTCCACTGTAGCTGAATTCAGGTAATTCTATAAATAATTGCTTGACATCGATGTGAGAGACCCTGTGCCCGTTCTAATCCTTGATAACAGTCGTTACAACCAGTTGGTGACTTTATCGACCTTGGGCCTAGTAGTGCTGTAGACATGTGTACTTGTTATTTTGATATTTGTAAATGTAGCCTAAAACTGTCACTATTGCACCCTCTTCAGGTAAAATTCACACTACATTGATGAAGAGGATCTTTATTGACATATTTTTTTATCTTTGTGTGCATGCATGAGTGATTGTGTGGCAAGAAAACACAATACGGCCTGCTTTCAATGCACAAAGTACACTTTCAAGAAAGATGATCCCCAAAATAAAAGCACTTTAACATCTAAAGACAAAAGGAGTTATAAAGAGAAGCCTGAAATCTGCTTTGAAGACCAAAATAAAGTTATTCAGAGCCAGTACGGCTCTGGGATGATGAAAAACGTCCGATTTGCCGGAGGGTCTGCAGGGGAGACATTTATCCCTGTTTAAATTAAAGGCTTTCAAGAGTCTGGAATCCTAAGATGAGTTTTTTCAAGGAAAGTTGGGCCGATCTCTTCTGCTAAACAGGAAGGTCATGCTAATAGCAGCAGTTAGCTCCAACGAGCAGAGTTTCAGCGTTACCCACATTAAAGAAACCTCACTGTGACTGCACAGGTTAGTCTTCATTAATCAGTGTCCTTGTTCATTTATTATTCTAACGACAGCGGGTTGAGACACCTGAATCAGAACGCAGAGACAACATGACTCAGTGGATTTAGAAATGGACGAAGATGAATGTTTTTGAAAACGCCATCTCTAATTAACAAAAAGTCACATTCCATGGACAAAATGAGCCTCACAAACTGTCCGTTGCTGCAGGAATCCGGCATCCATCCAGAATCAGGCTTTCTTTGAAGATTCCGGCTCGCCCGCAACCCTCTCTTTCATATTTTGCGGTATTTTATTGGAGAAATTCCAATAAACCTTTTTTCAAGCCTCCCACGGGCCAAACAATCAACCACACAGCAAGATGATTCATCGGCTTGGCCACATCTTGCTCCAAACGTGCAAAACAATCAGATTATAGGCAAAATATGTTGTTTCTTGCCATCCAATACCATGATGCAATGCAAGAATAGCTTGCCACTCTCGGTTCGCTCGGCCACATCTACTAATCTGTTTGAATCTGGTCTTAAAACCCACGACTTCACCATCGCTTTTGGTCCTTGACCCTATGGACAGGACTGTGGCTAGCTGCGGTTGTTAACAATTTTATCGTTTAGTTGTTTGTTCTCTCATTTGAATTTTTTTTAGTATTTTTATGTTTTTTAGCTATGTTTTTAGTTGATTTGGTGAATAAGGTGGAATCCTGCCAGTGCAAACTGTGTGATGCGTTTGTGTGAAACCGAAGCCAAATTCCGTTATCGTGCAAAAAGTTTGACAGATCTACCTGATTCTGATTGGTCAGTAAGAAAATATATAAACTAAATACATAGAATCTAAACAACCCAAACTGTGCCCGCGTTCTCAAACTTTATGTGGCTGCAGTACCAAAGGTTGGACAGCAGATGTCACCATTTCCCTAAAAGTCCATTTCCAGTTCAACTACTCAAAGTGTTTGTTTAGCACGTTAGAAGGAAACAGTACTGGTTATTTCAGACATGATGACAGATGGTAAAATCATTCCCTCCATCCATGCATGAATGCTAAACTCACTTTTTGATGCGTGCTGTCTCTCTGCTCACAGCTTCGTTCAGCCTCTGGACCAGGCTCTCAGTGGATATGGTGTCACATCTATAAATGGAGCCATTTTTATTTCTGGAGGTTTCAACTGTAAGTACGTGTGTCTGGCTACCATGTTCCTGTACCACCCAGAGAGAGGAGCCGTCTACCTGGCAGACATGACCCATGACCGAGCTCAACACTGCATGGAAGCCCTGCAAGGACATCTGTACGTGGCTGGTGGGGTGTGCAACTTCAGGGAGTTTTATGCTGACCAGCCAGCCTGTGAGGTTTACGACCCAGTGGCAGACTCCTGGGCTAGTTTTGCGTCGCTGCCTGCTCCCCATGTTGGTGCAGCCTCAGCCGTCCTGGAGGATAAGATCTATGTACTGGGAGGATACGCCCAGGATGACTACAGCGAGTCTGGACTGGTGCACCGCTTTGATCCCAGCGCACAGCGATGGGAAAGTGTGGGCAAACTACCAGGAGCTGTTACTGACATCAGGGCCTGTGTGCTCCACCTGCCCCAGCACTTCAGAGAATAAATGGTTAGTAAAAACCACAGAGCCCTATAAATGTGCACCAATCAGAGAGCATAGCTCCTGGAATGAAAAGCCTCAGGGTGACAGATGCCGATTATCTTGTTGCTGTATTAAACCAACACATTCTACTTTACATTGGATTTGACGCTGTATCATCACAAACCGCTGCTTTGTTTGAAATAAAACTAGAATTAATCATTGTTTTATGGCGGTATTTTTAGTCCTTCGTGACTGGGCTCTGTGTTTTTTGAAGATCCACAAATCCACTTGAGTCGGTGCATGATCAAAAACTTTACTAGTTTAGTTATGAAAACAGTCCAGACTCTAGCAACAAAAATATTTTACAAGTAATATTTCAGGCCACTGCCCTCCCTTAGACAACCACAAGACAACATACCTGTCAGCAGAGGTGTGGCCAAGTCACTGCTTTGCAAGTCACAAGTAAGTCTTTCCAGTCAAGTCTCGAGTCAAGTCCAAGTCAACAACAACCAAGTCCAAGTTGATACCAAAGTCGAGTATCTGGAAGTCCAAGAATTTTCAAGTCATAATCAAGTCATCTGCCCAACTTCAGTGTAGTGACAAAGCTTCATTTATTTGCTCCAACAGGCAGAAACTGGTGATAAACAAAGAGCTGCTGCATTTAGCAGGAAATAAAACCCAGAACCAAGAATGGGTCATGATTTTTCTTCATGTCGTGCCACTTTTGTGCACAATGCTCAAGTCATCAAGTCAACAGATGCAAGTTGATTCAAGTTGCACGTCATTGGCGTTCAAGTCAGTCAACTCGTACGTTTTTATAGATTTCATCAAGTCAAGTCAGAAGTCATTAAAAATAATGACTCAAGTCTGACTTGAGTAAGGCAGCAGTAGCTCAACAGGTTGAGCGGGTTGTCCAGTAATCGGAAGGTTGCAGGTTCGATCCCGGTGTCCTTGAGCAAGACACTTAACCCACCTTGCCTGCTGGTGGTGGTCGGAGGGACCGGTGGCGCCTGCGCTTGGCAGCCTCGCTTCTGTCAGTGCGCCCCAGGGCAGCTGTGGCTGCATCGTAGCTCATCCCCAACAGTGTGTGTGTGTGTGTGTGTGTGTGTGTGTGTGTGTGTGTGTGTGTGTGTGGCTTGGCAACAAAAGAAACGCCAGTGCCAAAGTTCAGCGTGATGTGCTCTTTTATTGTGCTCATCTTCAGGTGAAACTCAGTAAAACAAACATTTTAGCATCCAGGAGCATTAGCATTTAGCATTTAGCATCCCCCCTCACCGGAACCTGAACTGACTCTGATGACCAGCCACGCCCACAGCACAGAGCATCCTTTTTAAAGGGCCAGGCCCCGCCCAACCACCACGTTATTACCCTTTTCTCAGCAGTTTTTAATCACACACATCAACACATCCTAGCGTTATCACCAAGCAATAGTACATTTCAACCCATGATCTACTTTACATCTACACATCTTTCCACATCACAACTCAATGACGCAGAGCACACACACCGATGGTAACCTACTGAAACATAATTTTAGCAATCACAACAAAACATCACATGTGCACCCACGGCGAATTGCTTTGTGTTGAGCCAAAACAACAGCTGATGTTTATGAACACATACAGATATTCTGGGTGTACCCCACCTTCTGGTTCTACTTACAGGACGGGCGTAACTCATGACGGCTCCTCCGTCACAGTGTGAATGGATGAATGATACACTGTAGTGTAAAGCGCTTTGGAGTCCTTACTCTGAGAGGCACTGTACATTTATCATTTGAGTCCAAGTCATGTGACTCCAGTGCACACCTCGGCCTGTTAGAGTACATTAGTGACTGCATTAAAATATATTAAGAATATCTAATAGTCTGTGTTAATCACAAAGTATTCTGTGTTTAATAAAACAAAACACATTTCTATAGCGTGCTTGTCACAGTCAGAAAGATTAGGTTGTAAATCTTCATAAATACCAATGCAATAGGGCCCACTTACTACAGGAAATACACCAGAAAGTGAATTCCTGCTTTACATGTGTTGTCCTTGATGAGCAAACAGCTCCCTCTTGTGGTAACAGTTGTTATTACGGCACTAGAAGCAACGGTTGCTTTATGTTTTGTTCCTGGATAAATGTAACTCAGAACTTATTATTCTACCAAAGTCACATCTAAATAGATGCTAATTATCCACAGATTTAAACCGTTTCACATTTTTTTGTTGAAAAGTGTGATGTACATTCACAGATCTGAAGATTACCAGCTGTAATGACATTCCACAAATTCTAAACGTGAAAATACAAAAACAACACTGTTAATCTGACATTTCCTGCAGCTCATAATGATCATCCTATCAATAAAGGAACCGTAATAGGACCCTTCTGATAGAATAGAATAAACTTTATTGATCCCACAGTGGGGGCGTTCACTTATTACAGCAGAAAAATGATAACAAGGTTACAGGTAAACACACGATGGTGGATTGTATTCAGCCTGGTGCACAGAACACACCAGATTACAAACGATCAAATACGCATACAATAAGAGCTCCTGTCCGTAACTAATAATGAACTATTCATCTTCTCTTCTTCTGTGGTTTTCACAGTGTTGGGCAAGTTACTTCAAAACTGTAATGCATTATTTATTACTTGTTACCCTCATTTTAAAGTAATTCATTACATTACAATATTACTGATTTTAAAATGTAAGGCATTACACTACTTTTGCATTACTTTAAGTTACTTTCACCAGTACAACTTCAATATGAATCTGGTCATGTGACGCTCGGTGAGCTCATGACATATATGTGGAAGGTGATGTGGTGTCTGAGCTAGGATTGCTGTTAAAAACAGTCAGATATAATAACAGTGCTTTAAAATGATTGTTTATTAAATAAAAGCAACAACAATCTGTACTCTCAGCATGCTGCCATCTTATATTAACAGATCAGGGAGTGAGGTGGTGGGGGCTCCAAGCCTATATTTGCCTTGGTCCCCGAATGCCTTGATACGGCCCTGGATGTGGGACTGACTTCTGGGGTGATCTGATTCTATCACATGTATAAATATTAAATGCTTATATATTATTGCTTTTCACTGGTAAACATGTGTATTGGGGATAAATCTACCTACTTTTTTCTTTTTTTCTTGACTTTATGTGAATAATTTCCGGCCCTTTCTCTCTCTAACCTTCCTGCATGCTGCATGTTTTCCCCGTCTTCCAGAAAAACTGTAAACTAGACTTCCTACTTTCTAACTAATCAGCCAAAGGGATCTACCGAACCAGCAGCAATGAGTTGAAATCACTGGGGCACAGATTATGAACTCAGCTGAAAAGTACATGAAGTACCAGAGAATATGGGCTGATATAAACGATCGCAAACGAATGACTTTGTTTTGGTGGAGCGGTTTAGTGAATATAACAGCGGCCGCGCGCAGGACGCAGCTGGAGTATTTGAGCCGTTACCGCTGCGTCCTCTCTGCTCATAGAATGCCCGCAAAGCTGAGTCCATAAATGACGTCATATATGTAGATACCGGATCTTTTTTCAGGCTTCCCACAATTTGAATTTTTAGGAAACCCACATCTTGATTCTGGGTTTAAAAATGCATTGTAATTACCGCGTTACTGACAATTATACCGAGTACATATTACCGTTTTCTTTCCCTGTAATGCCTTACATTACCACATTACAGCAAAAAGCAATGCATTACAGTAATTAATTACTTTTGTACCGCATTACTCCCAACACTGGGTTTTAATGAGACATTTTTAACAAACAGCCCTTTTGATCTAGGACAAGTTGACCCTTTAAGATTTTACATGATGAAAAATTGTCAAGTTTCATTTTTTTTTCACCTAAAACTGACTCGGCTGTGTTACCTACACCTGAAGTGCACCTACACCTGAGCAGGCATCAGAATGCAGGAAGGAGCGTTACGCTCGTAAATGTTGCGGCAAGGTCAGTAAGCACGCTCGTAAGTCGTTATTTGGTCCAGGTGTCCTTCCGATGTTCTCCCATTTCTGCATTGCGGTGTCGAAACGATGGACCATCTTGGTGTCACTGTGGTCTTCCTGGCTGTACCCGCCCAGTAGGTACAATCTTCCCTCCAAAATCACACTTCCTGCTCCTACATGTGGCACTGACAGAGAAGCGAAGGCAGTCCAGGAGTTAGCAGCTGGACTGTACACCTCACAGGCCAGCTGGTTGATGAGACTCCCGTCATCCTTTGTTGTGAGTCCTCCTGCGACATAAATACCTTCACCTAGGACCTCCATGCAGTGGTGAGCTCGAGGTTTGCTCATGTTGGCCAGAAAGGTGCTTCCTGTCTCTGGGCGATAAACAAACATGGACGAAAGACATGAGCAGTCATTGTTTTGTCCTCCTGAGACAAAAATCTGCTCTTTGAAAACCTTTGCTACATGTCCACTCAAAGGCAGATCCAAGCGCCGGGTGAAACTGAAAGAGAACACATTTTTAACCATTAAAATATATTAATTCAATCAGGGCGACAGAAATACCCAGGAACATTCTTTCCATAAGTTAAAATGTAGGTGACAGAGATGAGTTAAGGGCATATTTTCATGTAGTCATTAAAGTAAAGTTACTAAATAATTAGCAGACATGAAGCCTCAAGTTTTGTATTTGGCTGCTAGATGAGCTTTTGAAGCCAGAAATGAGGTGTAGCAGATGGATGTGACTGAGGCCCTGTCCACACGTAGCCGGGGATCTGCCAAAACGTAGATATTTTTCTACGTTTTGGCCTGTCATCCACACGAAAACGGAGTTTTTTCACACGAAAACGGATCTTTTTAAAAACTCCGGCCAAAGTGAAGATCTGCGTTTTCTCCGTTTTGGGTGTCTGCGTGTGGACGGACAAAACCGGAGTTTTAAGGTCCGCAACGTCACTTTCCGCGACAAAACAATGCTGACATCACGTGTGCGACCTGTGTTTACACTAGCCGACAGCATGGATGCCCTCAGAGCTGCACTCGCTTTATCAATTGTCCAAGCGCTTTCTGCTTGTTTGTTTTTGCAAGCAGAATTACTGCTCCTTGCGGAAGACCACAGACGAAGGACGAGGTTAAGAACGGGGGAAGTACTGCCGCCTACAGGTCTGGCATGTCCTTAACAACGTATTTATCCGGGTACGTGTGGACAGGGTTTTTTTTTTAAACGCGGTGGTGTGGATGCAAGTTTTTGGAGGGGCGGATATCCGTTTAAAAAAAACCCGGCTACGTGTGGACTAGGCCTCAGTGTCCGAGGACATGTTGGACATCTGAGAATCTGACAGTGCAGAGGTCATAAATTATGTAACTTTGACATCACATGAAACTGCAACACTTTTTCTGGCTTTTTCTCCCAGAATACGTTTCCTTAACCAGTTTTGCTTTAATCGTTAGACTCGTTTCGACAGAAGTTACAAGTTTTACGTAATTTCTGTTCAAACGTAAAGGCTGAATATAGAAGAATTTAATAAGAAGCTATATTTTTTGATATAATACCTCCACAGGTAGAGGTGTGCTGAATGAAGGTACAGTATTTCCTTTAAATGCTATATTTTCATTTAGAAAATGATGAAATATTTATTTTGGCGGGCACGACTCTGGGTTAGTGTTTACATCTACCAGTCAGTAGAGGGCACTGTTGCAGGTTGCGAGGCTGGCTCTTTGAAAAATGGCAAACTCAACAAATCAAGCAGCTGCTTCTGAGTCCAGAAGATGTCGTTATCCTTTTCAGAAGAGGAGCGACCAAGAAAAATTCTAAAACCGGAGTGAGTTTAGGTGAAGACTGCAAGAGACGGACCAATTAATGCGAACCTGATGTCCCAACAGCTTGAAACCTTGTTCTATTGTTGCAACTACAACCTCCACACACTAGATGTCGCTTTGGCGTTCATGCTCCATATTCCTAGCCTAGTGAACTAGACCAAATTCTTGCTTTGCAAAGAATGGTTTAGGCACGCTCCATTGGAACCTCCGCATCTCCTACCAGGACTCTGGCTAGCCAATCACAGCTCTCTAGAGGGGGTTCAAACACAAAAAGAGCTGTGATTGGTCCATAATGGTGGGCCAATCATAGTGCTCTATCTGCTTAGTGAACAAATCACAGAGCTTTATCCGCTTTGTGGGCCAATCAGGGCACTCTATATGCCTGGTGGGTGGGATGATGCAACAGAGTGAAGCAAGAGTAGGTCACATTCATTGTCCAGTGGAATGCGGAGATCATTTGAAAGACAACGGTAGAACCCGCCCCACAACCGAGAGCCGTCAATGGAGCGTAGGCTTGCCAGGCTAACATATTCCACCTTTAAAATAAATGTTTAGTTTAGCGTACCTCCATACGTTTGTGGTGGGGCAGTAGCATTCAACACTGTCCATGTGGTCGGGTTCTCGAAGCCCACCAATGGCGTATATTTTTCCATCGAGGACAACCGCAGAGAACAAGCTTCTCTTTTCCTGCATTTTACTCAGGCTCTCCCAGCGGTTCTGATGGGGGTCAAACCTGCAGATGTCACACAAACAGATACAAGTAAGATTAAAAAACGAAAGGATTTCATCTTTGTTTTTAAATTGTCGTCGTCCCTCTCACCTGAAAACAGAGTTCAGGGCGTCACCGATGCCGTAATACTTTTTGCCTCCAAAAACATACAGTTGTTTATTCATCACAGCAACCTCGTGACTAAACCTCTCTGACTCTGGCATCTCGCCCAACTTTCTCCATTCCACTGTCTTCTTAATCCCTGTGAGATTCCTTAAAGAATTCCCAAACCAAAGTTCTCTGCTGACGCTGCGACTGCTCAGGTCCTCAGAGATCTGGTCACCTCCGATTAAGACCAGACACTCTTTGGGCGAATAGGAGCGGCAGCGGTGCTGCAGTGCACTTTCACTGGAGCAGAAGTCTTCAAGGACTTCTCCAAACAGCCCTGCCAAGCTGTGATCACACCACAGCGTTCGAGATTGGACCTCTTTGAATTCTTTGAACGTCATCAGGGGGAAATGGACCGTTCTCACAAGCTCTCTGGCAAGTTTGAGCCTTACGTTGGGCTTTGCTGTAATCCACGAGACCACCGCGTTGAACACGATGAGCTCAGATGAAACACAGAGGGACTTACTGTTCAGGTACTTGAGAAGCTGTCTGGCTGGTAGGTCAGTGAACTTTGAGGTGCGTGCAACCTCCTGGAAATGCTGCAAAATATAATCCTCCGCTGCTTCAAGAAGATGAGGCATTTCGAAGGCTTCAGCAAATGATACCACATCCAGACAAGTATGGGGAGTTATTTCTTGTTGAAGGAAGTTAAAGCACAAGGACAGAGCTGGCTGGTGCTGGAGCTGAAGAGCTGTGCTGGTGATCTCAAAGATGCTCGTCCAGCTCAGAGGGAGAGTCCCGCTGTAGGAGCTACCAGCCAGAACTTCTAGCTCTGAAACCAACACGAAAGGAAGGCTCACACAGGACTGATGGGACTCTTTCATGTTCAAGGTGAACATCCTGTGGAAGTAGTCACTACTGGCAGCCAGGATGACTCTGTGGACTGGAGACACGATGGTAATTAGGGAATATCTCTGAAAACAGATGCAATGCATTTCTATTTCAACCAAAATATTTAATATTGATAAAGTACCCAACAACTATGTCCATATTTATGGAAGAACGGCAGTACCTGGGCATAAACTATTGTTCATTTGGAACCTTTTTGAGTTACTTGAAGACATTTGTAGGAATAGCATTTTTGGTGCTTTTAAAGCTCAGTATACTACACTACACTTTGACCAATAAGAAATGAATTTACGTGGATGAAATGTGGGGTGTGATGATGTGTGAATGTGATGTTATCAGGACCCTCGTATCTGAAGAACCTGAGTTCTGAGTGGGAGTGAATTTGGTCTGCTATGAACTATAAGGTGAGGGTTTATAAAACCACATCAGACGCAATCTGTCGAGTCTACATACCAGCTCGGAGACCCCTGTGGTAGATCTGGAATGTGTTGAGGTCCGGGGACCCCAGAGGTACCAAAGTCCTTAGAAGAAACCGCATTGCCGACTAGACCGGTCTCGAGATGTCTCCAGATCATGCCAGGTAGTAATTTTCCCTCCCTCCTCATCCCAAGGCTCTCTGTCCTGTCTGTCTGTGCACAGTGCTTTCTGCATTTTTTCTGGAAACTGGAAATGATTAAACATGGATCTGGTCAGTTGGTCTCTCAACGCGATTGACAAAATCTTTTCAACGATGAGAACGGGAGAAGGGGCTCCTGGATGCCCCTCCGGGACAGAGCCAGCTGGGTATATCATGGACTCTGGAAACAGTCGAACTTGATCTGCCTCTCTCTACTGTCAGTAGAGGATTCTGAAGATGTCTGGATATTCGTTGTGTTGGTGTCGGGATTCCTGCTGTTTGGCCTGAGCGGTTACCTGGCGTACCGGAAAAATAACGAGCTTTCGAGGAATATTGGCTTAATCCCAGAGCTCAGGGATGGAATGCATCGTGCTGTAAACTCACAAACTCATATAATTGTCGAGATGAGTCATAAGCTTGGAACTTTGGCTGAGATTCAGGCTCTGGCACAGAAGGTTGATTCTATCAAGGAAAAAGTTGACGGATCAGCACGGATTGGAATAGTTTGATAACGCCATTATCGGATCTGGAGGGGTTGAAGACCGACAGAACTCTAAGCCAGAGAGGAAATTATCTCTGCCTGTGCCCAAAACAATTCTTGCTATCTGAATCTGGTGCCCTTGGAGCCTGTGAGGCTGAAGTGAAAACTCCCCTCAGAAGAAATGTGGAATGCTGCCATCGCTATGGAAACCCTTTCTCCCTATCCCAGCCTGGGCGGGACTGTGACCGGTGAAGGCCGTGGAACCGTATCTAGGAGTCAACGTGATCTCTAAACCATTATCTCCCCCCCTGTCCAAACGGAGGTGATGAGCACTGCTCTTGCGGCTGCACGCTCTGAAGTGAGGATGGTCCCAACCTACCTGCCCACCTAGTGGATACTTGTGTAATGTCTGAAGTCTGTGTGCATTTCAGTCTGAGGTGTTTTTTTTTTTTTTGCATAGCAAAGCTGCCCTCCCTGTGGAGGGTAACTCTGAAGTGCCTTTTTTTCCCTCCCCCTGACTCGATCCTCATATCCTCTTGATCTATTAAGGTAGCGCAACTCGGGTTGCGAATGACCACAGTCACCAATTCTTGTCATGTGTCTTGCCCATGTATGTCTGATCTCAGAACTGTGTGTACTGAAACTCTAATTTCCCTCTGGGATTAATAAAGTATCTTTGAATTGAACTGAATTTGCATCTATGGAGGACTCTTAAGGAATCGAAGTTGGTTCAGCTTTGTTCTGAAGGGACCGTTTGCGGAATCAGCTGTAGCGTGCAACAGGTTTGGACAGCTTGTCAAAAGATGCGATGGGAGCAGAATTTCCCTCCGATGGCCAGTCAGAGTTAGCTCAACTGAATTCCTCAGGGAGTGATGCTGTTTAAATAACGGCCATATCTTGGTTTACTGATAAATCAGAACTTGCCCTGTGAAGGGGTTTTGCCAACAAACTCAGATACGCACCTCTCTCAGATATGAAGATGCTGATTTTGTGGATAAGAAAATATCGATGTGCAGTGACGTTAATTCTAACTTGCATCACGGAGACATGGTGAGGGTGTCTTGTCCAGTCAGTGTGCTGATTAAATATATGGGTCATATATTTCATTTCATCCTTGTTAATTTTTCAAAGTAATAATAATATTAATTCAACTTCAGTAATTTAGGCACAGATTAATCAAAACATTTCATTTAACCATATTGTCCATTTCATTATATGATTAGTTATGAAAGTTCATCCGTCTTGTTCTGTGAATAAAACCCAGTCTTAGATAAGAGGGAGCTTGCGAGGGACCTTGGCCAAGCAACATTATCTTTCTTGCAGATTGAAAACACCAGTTAAGACTTATGTCTCCAAATGGCCAGATACTGAAGAGGTCAGACTGTAGGTGAAAAACTGGAGGCTACACATTCCACCTCTCATTCAAAGGTTACTTCAGTTCTGATCACTGTTCTGGAGCAAGGTCCTGTAGAAAATCTCACCAAAGGTCTGTTAAAGTCATACGAGTGTCACAGTCTGCCCCGCTCACTAATCAGCTCTCATAATGCACAACAGTTGTTCCCAGTTTGTGTTTTCAGGTGGGCGTGTCAGAGAGCCAGCTGCTCCTGATCTCCTGATCAGAGGACCAGGGGTACTTAAGGAGCGGTGTGAAACAACTCCAGTGCCGGTCGATACTCGCCTTTGGGTAACACTAGCTTTGTCTCGAGTTTAAGTTTCAAATACTCAGCATGTGTTTAAGTCAGTCCGTTCCTGTCAGCCCTGGTCTTGTACTTTGAAACTTCTACTCATCTGTCGCTCAGGATTACTCACCGCTGCCTGGAGTTGTTAATTCTACTACATGTCGCTCACCGTCCCTTGGTCTCCTCGCTCTCTGCCGCTCGCCTGTCACCCTACCTGTTCCCTGCCTGCCTACCAACCTCCTCCGGATCTACAGCATTACCTGCCTTCCTGTCTGCCAAATACCTGTTCACGCATCTCAGTTTGGATCCTCGGCCTCGTTCTCTGTCCCCGTTTGGCTTCACCATCCAGCCCAGTCTCAACAAGGATTCTAACTTTCCCAGTAAGAGAAAACTCTCCTACAAGCCATTCCTGTTTGGTTCTCTGGTTCCAGGGTTTGTTTTACTGTGAGTTTAATTCCCGTTTGTTTTCTCGTTCTAGATCGCGGTTCTTCCTGTTCTCGTTTGGAGCAGCGCTTTACGTTTTACAACACGTTCTTTAATAAATAATATTTGTAATTCTACTCACCCTCGTCTCCACTCGTGATTCTTTCATGTCCTGGGTTAAATATATACCCAACATGACAACGAGTCACTCAGATATCCATCCCTTCATCCAGTGATAATGGCTCAAACCACTCTCGTGATGGAGGGGTTGGTCAGTGGCTTATGTTTTTAACTGTGTGATTAGTCTACAATGACTTGTACATCTATAACTCCTAACCCACGAAGGCGTCGGTGGCAGAAAAATTAAGTCAAATGGAGGGTTGCAGGTTTGAGCCTCGCTTATTCTGTCAAAGTCATTATAACTGTTAAAGAAAAAAAGAAAATGCTCTTTTATAAAGCGCCTCTCAAGATAAAAAGCACGAAGCGCTTCACAAAAACAATTGTTTTAATGTAGAAAAGATTCATTTTTGAAATTTTTTTAAAAATGTTTAAAATTAGAGAAAATAATAAAAATTGTGATAAAAATAATAATGTAAAGAAAGGGAGAGAGAAAATGAATAATAGGTAAGAGGGCAATCAGTGGATCCCAGGAAACGCGGAAGTATAAAGAGCAGAATAAGGAGGGGGCGGTGACGAAGGTCACAAAAAGGTCAGCCTGAACCATGTGTTAGCGGTGGTCAGAGGGGCTGATGGCGCCAAATGACAGCCTCACCTCTGTCAGACCGCCCCAGGGTGGCTGCGGCTTCAAAGTAGCTTACCATCACTAGCAGTGTGTGAATGTGAGAGTGCATGAAAGCATTGTTGAGTGTCCTGAAAAGCGCTATATAAGTTTGATGTATTATTATTATTGAACAGGTGAGTCTTCAGCTGCTTTTTAAAGGAGACCACTGAGTCCACTGATCTCAGGCTCAGGGGGAGAGAGATCCAGATTCTGGGGGCCACAGCAGCAGATGATCTGTCACCTTTGACCTTTAGCCTGGTGCTGCACAACCAGTAGGCTTTGATCACTGGACCTCAGGGACCTGCTGGGGGTGTAGGGACTGAGAGTAGGCCCTGTAGGTCATGTGCTGAAGCATCCTTGGTTAAGAAACTCAACCTGACCATGTTCCCCGGGCACGATACAGACTGCAGCTCACTGCTCCTCGTGGATGGTACAGATGAATAAAACGCCAAGAGCAATTTCCCCAAGGGATCAATAAGTATAATTTTTATTCATTAATTAATTAACAGAGGTGTGGACTCAAGTCACATGACTTGGACTTGAGTCAGACTCGAGTCATTATTTTAATGACTTCGGACTTGACTTGATAAAATCTATAAAGACTTTTGACTTGTCTCGGACTTGAACTCCAATGACTTGAATCGGCTTGCATCAGTTGACTTGATGATGACTTGAGCGTATTTGATATTTTAGCGCAAAAGTGGCTCGACATGGACAAAACTCATAACTCATTCTTGGTTCTGGGTTTGATTTCCTGCTGAATGCAGCAGCTCTTTGTTTAAAATCAACTTCAGTTTCTGCTCGTTTGAGCAAATAAATGAAACTTTAAGAAGCTTTAATTCTGAAATTTATTTATTATCATCATCATTAAATTCAAGTTGGACAGATGACTTGATTATGACTTGAAAATTCAAAGTTAGGAACTTGAACTTGATTTGGACTTCCACATCATTGACTTTGGACTCGACTGTCTTTGACTTGGAACTGACTCGAGACTTGACTGGAAAGACTTGTGACTTGAAAAGCAGTGACTTGGTCGCACCTCTGTGAATTAATTCCTAAAGGTTGGACATGCATTAAAGCAGAAGGTTTTATTTAAGCATTCCCAGTCTGTTTATCTTTAAATGGGTTTTTAATGGATGCTAAAAAAGAAAAACAGCGCGCTACGAGATCTGAAATACCAAAGTTATTCACTCATAATCCAAAGGGATCTAGTTTAGGTCCTAATAGGTGTCAGGAGAATAACTGCAACGCATCACACAAACATTTATAATCATAGAGAAATAAGAGGGTTGGGTTAATAAAATCAGTTGACCACCTGCTTGGATACCTACCATGAAGAGATCCACCAAGAGCCTCCAGAACCACATCACAGCCCACTCTGTCCATCCACTGTTGTTTGATGAACTGAAGACTGAGCTCCATTTGCTCTGCTGCGAAGATCTGCTCATCTTCATTCTGTTTCGAGAGAGGATCTTCATCGTTGACACAAAGCTGCCAAACCCGGAGGGCGCCCAGTGACTCAGCTGCTGCTCTTATTCTCTGTACGTCGTGCCTGTTCACAGACGATATGATTCCAGTGTAGGCAAACTCCAAGATGGCCTCTAATCCAACAGGATCCACCTCTGGACCGAGACACACTGACCACGGTTGAACCCCGACACTTCCACTGAGTTTGTTTTCTTCGCCCGTCTTCTTGAGATGCGTCCAGATGAGCGAGCTGACGGCAGCGAGGACGGGCGAGTGCACGTGGAAACTCCTCCCACCCTCCGTTTTCAGAGTCAGGTCAGTAAGAATGGAGGACTCTCTGAACGTCTTCAGGGTGCTGAATAAGTAGGTGTGGTGATCGTGTTGGTGGTAGACCTTGAACTCATCCGCATCATCAGCACCCTCACCTTCATCTGTTTGGCTCTGAGTTCCTTCATCATCTGAGGAGTCTTCTTGCAACAATTTAGGAAACTCTTGTTCACTTCCTGCAGATTTAGATGCACCTAAAGTCTTCCAGCCTTTTAGATCTTCACGGTCAACATCTTCATTGTTTAGAAATTCCACTGAATCTGAAAGGCTGACTTCCTCATAACGTCCTATCTCGTCTTGCTCTCTGTAGTGAAACTGACGCTCTTCCTCCAGCCTTTCTTCTGCATCACCATCTTTCAGATCTTCCTCTCCTCTCCTACCTTCTGATTTGCCTCTCCTCTTCTCTCGTTTCTCCTTTCCTTTTTCTTCTCCTTCCTTTTCTTCATAAGCTCTTCCCCTAAGGCCTCGTAAGACCTCCTCCTCATCCCTTTCTCCATCTCTGGCATCAACACTCACCCAGCGGCTCGTCCTCTCCCTCCACCCGTTTTCCCGGCTCTTTTCCATCTCTCTCTTCCGTTCCTCGCTCTTCCTCCGGAGATGTGGATTACCCACTGGCACACCTTCCATTAGCTCTGTCATCTGCATCAATCGCTTCAGTCTGTCGACGCTTTTAATGCATCCAGAAGCCAACGGACGGGGAAGACTTACGGTTGGATGAGAAGTGCTCTCTAAGTTGCAGATCATGCGCGTCCTGTTATCCTTTCTCAGTGGTGAGGTTGTTTGGTTGTTCCTGTCCTTCCCCTCTCTCTCTGGGGAATGCTAAAAGGCCACAGGTTACCACGATGCCCCGTGTAACCCAACAAGCTGTTAACTATGGTGTAACGTAGCACTCCAGATGATCGCAGTGGCTGGAAGAGGCTGAAGGGCTAACGCATCGAACGTTTGGTCAGATTTGTTTTTACTGTTTCATCTCGTCTTTATTATGGTTCGTGCTAGTTCTTAATGCTCTTGTTCTAGAAGACAGTGTGACACTCGTGCCAAAGCACAAAATAAATGTGGGACTGGTTCAGACCCGCGAGCAAGCCCGTCTGAGTCCATGAGAGGTGGAATCTCGAGAAGCCTTGGCAGCCATCTTTACTCTCACACACATGAGCGGTTATAAATGCCTAGGGGGTCACCAGAGAGAGATCACGTTGCTCCTCTACAGTCAAACGCCGTTTGGGTCAAGGGTCACCAAGAGCAAAGGGGAAGACAGAAGCAGAACAACATTCAGCACCTGTTGGGTTTTCTGTGGACGGAGAAGGCCAACAGCTGGGTCTCACTGTAAAAAATAACATCACAGGTTGGAGGTGGCTGTAAATCATCCTGCTGCTGGGTTTTAAGGAAGTGCCAGCTCTACACGGGGCAAGGACGCTTTATTTATGTAGGAGATTTTATACACAGAGCCAATTCAACGTGCTTTCCACGAGTAAGATCGTTAAAAACTATATGACAGAAAATATGATTTAAAAATGAAAAAAAAAAATAACTCATTTAAAGTTAAAGTGCAGAACGAGCAGCAGAAAAACAGCCATCCAAAGGCCGGTGGGACACATTTCAGGTCACGAGGAAGCTGATTCCATCTGAGAGCAGCGGAGTAGCTAAAAGCAGCTTCACCCTGTTTGGTTCTGACCCGGTTCTACCAGCTGACTGCTTCCTAAGGACGTCAGAGCCCTGCTGGGTGTAGATAATCCAACGTGTACTCTGGCCTCATGCCACCGAGTGATTTATAAACTAGTAGAAGCGCTTTAAAATGGATTATGTAGTTTAAAGGTAACCAGTGTAGACATTACAGAACCGGATCAAATCAAATCAAATCAACTTTATTTATAAAGCACTTTTCATACAAAAACATGCAACTCAAAGTGCTTCACAGATTAAAATGGCCCCATAGATCCCATATTCCTGTCCCAGCCCCCCCCCCCCCCCCTCCCCCCCCCCCCAAGAATAAAACAATTGAAAATTACGGTTCCCCTCCCGCACCCAACTTCCAAGGTGGACATACAATCACCCAGACACACGCACACACACACACACACACACACACGTGAACAACAGAGTAAACAATAGGCTGAGTTCAGATGGGTCAGGTAATGGACGACGAGGGGTGACGCGCTCGGTTCTCTTGGTTCTTTTAAGACGAGCAGCAGCTTTCTGCACAAGCTGCAGCTGCTTCACAGATTTTTTTCGGAAGACCACTTAGGAGACCATTGCAGTAGTCCAGCCTGCTGTAGATGAACGCATGAATGACTTTCTCTAGGTCTGGTCTGGACAAGAGACCTCTGAGTGGTGCTATTTAACGAAGACGATAAAATCTGTGAATCTATCCTCTTTTTTTTAACATTACAAACATTTTCTGAGTCTATAGCAAGGCTTTGATTTGGTCCACACAGACCGTGTCTTTAACGTAACTCTGCTGAACTACTTTAGAGTTAAAGCTCAGCGTGTGGGTGGCTTGGAAATGAACCCGGTCGCTTTTAAAAGCAAACTCCTACCCTCCTCGTGTTGAGGCCTGTTTCCCATTAGAACCATCCACAAGCTCATCTACTGGCTCTGATGACGCTTGCTGACGTGTGATTGGCCGTTCCTGCCACCTGTGTTCCTGACATTACATGAAAGAGCCTCTAGACCGTAGCTTTATACGTGTTTTTGTATATTTCCTGTAAAGATACCCCGGCCCTCATGCCGGTTGTGTCCCCTTCACTTCTAAAGTCAAAATTACGTCCAGGCATCAGACGACGTTGCTCTCGTTACATCATGACCCTGGCCAGCCACTCACAGCTGAGCTTCTTATCAAAAGTCTGTTTCCTCAGCAGCCCTGATAGTTACCATGGCAACACATGCAAAAGACAAGGAGGGGAAAGTGTGTTAACCTTATTACAGGGAACCCCCACCCCCACCACCACCACCACCCCTAGGCCCTTTCCACAAGAGCACACACCGCCCTCCCAGTCTCCATACGGCCCCGGTTCTGGAACACGCATCGTCTTATTTATTAATCAAAGAACACGTTGTATGTAATTAAGAACGGAGGACAAAACATGGAAACTGACCGGGAGCTACTGGTCTTACAGTAAAACGGGATAAGATCAACAGCTAGAGCCATAATCCAATTAGTTTAGCGTTCATGAATAATAAGCCCCGCCCCCCTTCCCCCTAAACAACCTGACTTTAACAGAGATACAAACAACTGTTTTGTAGTTAAAATACAATCTACTTTTATTGCCCTATGAAACACAAACTACAACACACACAGCTGGGAGGAAACAGGGATTATACACGCTCTAGCACAACGCTTCATGTTAAATGCTATTTTTTTAAGGATGCAGAAGGAACAATCGTTCAAAAACATTAAAAATATCTATAAATAAACAGCATTACAACAAAACGTACAGTACAAAGACGCCTAAATGGCTTTTACCAGTTATTTTAGCTGATTGTCGAGCTTAGTTTTCTAACTAACAGTATTTTTATTTCATGAATAGAGATAAATCAGATCAAATTTCCACTCGTTTCAGTCGTGTGGATGTGTGAAATGTTTAATAGCTTTTACATAGCTACAGTTTTTCTACTAAAACTCTTACAGGGGTGTGAAAAACTATCTGCCCCCTACCTGATTTCTCACTCTTTTGCACGTTTGTCACACAAAATGTTTCTGATCATCAAACACGTTTAACCGTTAGTCAAAGACAACACAAGTAAACACAGAATGCAGTTTTAAAATGATGGTTTTTATTATTTAGGGAGAGACCTAAATCCAAACCTACATTGCCCTGTGTGAAAAAGTAATTGCCCCCCTTGTTAAAAAATAACCCAACTGTGGTGTTTCACACCTGAGTTCAGTTTCTGTAGCCCCCACCCCCCAAGCCTGATTACTGCCACACCTGTTTCAGTCAAGAAATCACTTAAATATGAGCTGCCTGACACAGAGAAGTAGACCAAAAGCACCTCAGAAGCTAGACATCATGCCAAGATCCAAAGCAACTCAAGAACAAACGAGAACAAAAGTAATTGAGATCTATCAGTCGGGTAAAGGTTATAAAGCCGTTTCTAAAGCTTTGGGACTCCAGCGAGCCACAGTTGGAGACATTATCCACAAACTGCAACAACATGGGACAGTGGTGAACCTTCCCAGGAGTGGGCGGCCGACCAAAATTACCCCAAGAGCGCAGAGAGCCCAGGACAACTTCTAAAGAACTGCAGGCCTCACTTGCCTCATTTAAGGTCAGAGTTCATGACTCCACCATAAATGGTAAATGGTAAATGGCCTATATTTAGCGCCTTCTAGAGTCATGGAACCCCTCAAGGCGCTTTACAACACAATCAGTCATTCACCCATTCACACACACATTCACACACTTGTGAGGATGAGCTACAATGTAGCCACAGCTGCCCTGGGGCGACTGACAGAGGCGAGGCTGCCGAGCACTGGCGCCACCGGTCCCTCCGACCACCACCAGCAGGCAATGTGGGTTAAGTGTCTTGCCCAAGGACACAACGACAGTGACAGACTGAGCGGGGCTCGAACCTGCAACCTTCCGATTACGGGGCGAGCACTTAACTCCTGTGCCACCGTCGCCCCAAGAGAGACTGGGCAAAAATGGCCTCCATGGCAGATTTCCAAGACAGGGTTTGAGTCATTTCCAAGACTCAAACCACTGTTAAGCAAAAAGAACATCAGGGCTCGTCTCAATGTTGCTAAGAAACATCTCAACGATTGCCAAGACTTTTGGGAAAATACCTTGTAGACTGATGAACTTTTTGGAAGGCAAATGTCCCGTTGCATCTGGCGCAGAAGTAATACTAATAATTAATAACTAAAATAATAAATTTTGTTCTCTCCCTAAATAATAAAAACCATCATTTCATTTTCATTTCATTTATTTATAAAGCCCCTTCTGCGACCAATGCAGACGCCCAAGGTGCTGAACACAACACATTAAAAACATCATACCAACAGTAAAATATGGTGGTGGTAGTGTGATGGTCTGGGGTTGTTTTGCTGCTTCAGGAACTGGAAGGCTTGCTATGATCAATGGAACCATGAATTCAATTGTCTACCAAAACATCCTGAAGGAGAACGTCCGGCCATCTGTTGGTCAACTAAAGCTGAAGCCATCTTGGGTGCTGCAGCAGGACAACGACCCAAAACACACCAGCAGATCCACCTCTGAATGGCTGAAGAACAACAGAATGAAGACTTTGGAGTGGCCTAGTCAAAGTCCTGACCTGAATCCTATTGAGATGTTATGGCATGACCTTAAAAAGGCGGTTCATGCTAGAAAACCCTCAAATAAAGCTGAATTACAACAATTCTGCAAAGATGAGTGGGCCAAAATTCCTCCAGAGCGCTGTAAAAGACTCGTAGCAAGTTATCGCAAACGCCTGATTGCAGTTATTGCTGCTAAGGGACGCCCAACCAGTTATTAGGTTCAGGGGGCAATTACTTTATCACACAGGGCAATGTAGGTTTGGATTTTGTTCTCTCCCTAAATGATAAAAACCATCATTTCATTTTCATTTCATTTATTTATAAAGCCCCTTCTGCGACCAATGCAGACGCCCAAGGTGCTGAACACAACACATTAAAAACATAAAACCATCAGAATAAAATATAACAACCGTAAAACCAGCATAAAATCAAGTAAAAGAGGAGCGTAAAAGCAAAAAATCAAGTAAAATTAAATTTGTTTGATGATCAGAAACATTTTGTGTGACAAACATGCAAAAGAATAAGAAATCAGGAAGGGGGCAAACAGTTTTTCACACCACTGTATTTTACTTTGAGGTCAGTTCATTTGACTCGAAACAAACACAAGTGCTGCCAGGCGGGAAGAGAGAGACGAACGGATGTTTTTGTACAATAATCCATGACGTAATCCCAAACTTACTGACGTTCTGTGGGTTAGAAACCACATGGCACCTCAGCTATTGCTTTTATGAATTACATGTCACACAGTTTTGCCGCCACGTGTCGCTGCCTGGGGAGAGTGAGGGAGAGCGAGGCTCTGTGACTGCACTCGTCACGCAGTAGGAGAGGAGGGTTTGCATAGAGCAGCAGCGTCGTCCCGCTCAGAGGTCTATTTTGCAATCAAGCAGGGAAGACACCTAAAGGTAGTTTGTGCTTTCTAGATTAGAGATGTCCAAGTATCTGATTGGGGTCCTAATCCCTGAATTACTGACTCTATCAAATCAAAACATTTATAAACGTCGTTGACTCTTTTAAGGTGTTTAGAGACCAGTAGAGTCCATAAATGACGTTTAACCTGGTTTTCCTGTGATCTGTGTGGATGAACTGTCTCCCTGCACCGTGATCCTCTACAGGGACTCACGTGTGATGATGTAAGTAAAAGGAATGTAGTGACTGGCTCAAATCGCGGGCTGGAGTAAAAACAAAAAGAGCGTTTCCTCGTTTTAAAATGACGGATCGGTGACTAAACATCATGATTGGGACGTCCCTAATCCAGACAAGAATGTAAAATAAAATCATTGATTTAGGATCCTAAACCCGCACGTGTTCAACCCGTCTCTAAAACCAGCTCAGTGGCCTAGTGGTAGAGTGTCCGCCCTGAGACTGGGAGATCAGGGTTCGATTCCTGGTCGGGTCAGACCAAAGACTTAGTAAAAATGGGACCCAATGCCTCCCTGCTTGACACTCAGCATTAAGGGGTTGGATTGGGGGGTCAAACCACCAGATGGTTCCCGAGCGCGGCTGTGTCTGCAGCTCACCGCTCCCCCAGGGGATGGGTCAAATGCGGAGAACAAATGTCGCACACACACCTGTGTGTGTGTGTGACAACTGATGGGACTTTAACTTTAAAATTAGACTTCCCTGGATTTAAAACGTCATCACAAATAGAGTGTTTGTTGTTTTAAAACAATTCGATTTGATCATTTCTAATATTTT